ATATTCACACTATGGAATACTGCGCTGCATTGAAAAACAAGGAACTCATGCAATGTTCTTCAAAATGGGTGGCCCTGGAGGACATTATGCTGAGTGAAATAGCTCAGTCACAAAGGGACAAATACCGCATGGTGCCACTGTTGTAGAATGGATCTGACATCAGGGTTGGGGTAAGACAGAAAAAACTGGATAAATTATGTACACTGTATTGAAACAGATGAGGGAAAGAACAGATTAGAGGCGATATATGATTATTATGGTCAGCACAGGAATCCAGAATTAAGGTTGCATAGAGAAGTGTACAGGGGTGGGGAGGAAGGGATGGGAGAATTGTATACCAAAGAAGGAATTTTTTTTCTTTTCCTTTTTAGAGAGGGAGAAAAGTGCGTCAATGAATGAATGGAAGTCCAAAACCTCTGTAAGTGTTTATTAAAATTAATAATTAAAAAAAAGAAAAAAGAAGTCCCTTTGCATTTGTCAAGCTGAGAGGATAAAAATAAATTTAAGCCTCAAATTCCAATACTGAAAGGTGCTATGGGCTAAATATTAAATGACTCAGAAAGCATCAAAAGAAGATGGAAGGAATACGCAGAATCAGTGTAAGAAAAAGAACTGACCAACTCTGAGAAATTTCAGGATTATATGAACAGGAGTCACTGGTAATGAAAGAGGAAGTGGAAGCTTCATTGAAGGAATTGGGAAAAAATAAGGCTCTAAGAATCAATGAGTTACCAATTGACTTGTTTCAAATAACAGATGCAACCCTGGATGCACTCAGCAGTCTCTGCTAGGGAATTTGGAGGACAGTTGTCTGGCCAGTAGATCAGAAGAGGTCCATATTTGTTTATATTCCCAAGAAAGATGATCTAACAGAATGTAGAAACTATAAAACAGTATCATTAATATCAAAGGTAGACAGAATACTGCTGAGGAGCATTTTAAAATGGCTAAAACAGTACATATATAGGGAAATTTCAGAATTTCAAGCAGGATTTATAAGAGGTCATAGCACTCTGGATATCACTGTTGATTTAAGATGGATCCTAGCTGAAAGTAAAGAATACCAGAAGACTATATAATTATGCTTTATTGACTAGAAAAAGACATTTGATTATGTAGATCATAACAAGTTATGGCTAACATTGAGAAGAATGGGAATCCCAGAGCTCTTAATTGTGCTCGTATGAAACCTATACCTAGATCAAGAGGCTGTTGTGTGAACAAAGCAAGGGAACACTATATGATTTAAAAATAAGAAGGGAGTGCATCAGGGTTGTATCTTTTCTCCATATCTATTCAATCTGTATGGTAAGAAAACTATTCAGGAAGCTGGCCTCTATGATGACTAATGTGGCTTCAGGTTTGGAAGGAGACACATCAATAACCTGTGTTGTGCAGACAACATAATCTTGCTTGCTAAAAGTGAGAAGGACTTGAAGCACTTATTGCAGAAGATCAAAAATACTTCAACAAGGATTGAATCTCATGTCAAAAAAACAAAGATTCTTACCACTGGACTAATAGGCAATATCATGATAGATGGAGAAAAGGCTGAAATCATCAACAATTTCATCTTACTTGGGATCCACAATTAATACCCTTGGTACCAGCAGTCAGGAAATCAGGAGATAAAATGCACTGGGAGAGTCTGCATTTAGGGACCTTTCCAAATGCCAGTTTGAGGACTAAGGTGGCCCTGTCTTTCGATCACTTGCTATGCATCTGAGATTTGGACACTGAGTAAGATTATTTCTACATCCTTATTAGTAAATCCTGCAGTTAAGTTCATGAACATAGCAGAGCCAACAGGGGCCAATGCTTTGTATGCTTCTTAATCATAACCAAACACCCTGAGAGAGTGACACATTGGTTCTGAAGCCTTGGGAATATAATCTTGGAGGATATCAAGGACAATTGGTATAACACAGTCCACTAAAACAGTGACGAAGCTATGCTACTTTGGTGAATTGAGACTGAGGTCTTATCATCTAAGGTGCAACTATTTGTCTCTTCCTGTCCAGGACAAAGAAGAAGGCAGAGAAGTAAAGATTTACTGAAATAATTAGTTCAGAAGACTAATGGACCATGTAAAGTTCAACTCTTGAACCACAATAGCTACCACAGGAATCACCACCACTCTGAGATTCTAAGAGCTAGACTGTACCTGGCTACTACCACTCACCACTCCAGACAATAGAAGATCCGAGCCAGGACAGGGGAAAACATGGAACCAAACAGAAACATAAGAAACACTAGGCTTGGCCTTAGGTCACCCTTTGAAACAGGAACAAAATTTACTTCTGTTTCTCAACTATTAGCTAAACAAGACAGGCCTATAAGATTAGCAATAACACCAAAGAGATACTCACTTCTTTGAATAACCACATCAGGTCAAACAGCAGCCTTTCCCCAAGGATAAAGGCTTCAAGGCAGGCAGGAGTAGAAATGAAAGGTTAATGGAAATGATAATTACAGGCAGGAAGTGGCAAGAGTGTAATTCCATTGTGGGTATGGTAATTAATGTTATAAAACAAAATTTGCATTAACGGTTGAAAAGAAAACCAATATGCTTTGTAACTTTTACACAAGTCACAATAAACAATAACTGCAAATAAAATGACATGGATACCAGAAGAGACTCTGAAACTTGCTCTTGAACATTGAGAAACTAAAGGTAAAAGAAGAAACTATGAAATAAGAGAATTGAAAATAACATTTGAAAGAGCAGCTCAAGAAGTCACAAACTATTAAAGTGAAATATGCAGCAATTTTGAGGTAGAAAGCCAATCCTCAAGATGAAAGAGTAGGGAAGAAAATTCAAGCCTCGAGTTGGAATACTGGAGGACTCTATAGGCAAAATACTGACTGATATAGGAAATATCAAAAGAAGATGGAATACACAGAGTTACCGTACCAGAAATTTAGTCAACATTGAACCATTTTACAAAGTAGTATATAATCAAGAATCTATAGTACTGAAGAAAAAATTCAAAATTTTACTAAAGTCACTGATAAAAGATAAGTCTTCAGAATAGAATAACAATTGAGGTATTTATTCAAACAGAGGTAGCTCTGGAAAAGTTGATTTATCTATGGCATCATATTTGGAAGACTTACTGGCCCCAGCAACTAGAAAAGATACACACATGTGCTATTTTTTTTTTAAAAAGTGATCCAACTGACTGCAGAAATATCAGAAAATATCATAATACCACACAAAAGTAAAATATTGCTGAGGATTATTTAAAAAATTATTACAATAGCACATCCACAAGGAATTGCCATGAATTCAACCTGTATTCAGAAGAGGTTGTGGAATGAGCAATATCTTTTTGATGTCAGATGGACTTTGGCTGAAAGCGGAGAATATCAGAAAGACACTGATTTGAGTTTTATTGATTATGCAAAGTCATTCTACTCTGTGGGTCATAACAAATTTTGGATAACATTGAGATGAATAGGAATTTCAAAACACTTAATTGTCTTGTGGAATCTGTACAAGAACAAAGAAACAGCTATTCAAAGAACCATACAAAACTGTACATGGCTTAAAATCAGATACGGTGTGAGTCAGGGTTGTATCCTTTCGCAGTAATTATAACCATTGTACTAAATAACATAAAGAAGAAAATGGCATCAAGATTGGAGACTCATCAACAAGGTCTGCTATACAGATGACACAACCTTGCTTGTAGTAGCAAGTGGAGAAGACATGAAGTACTGCTTGATCAAACTCAAAGATTATAGCCATCAGTATAGATTACACTATAATATCTCCTCTCCACCCCCTGCCCCCACTCCAAACTCCTCACCACTGAAACAATAAGCAAGAGAAATGGAGGGAAAGTTGAAGTTGTCAAGGATTTTATTTTACTTGGCTCTACAATCCATTCTTGGGAATTCATCAACTGAAAAGTGATGCTGTTGTTGCTGTTGTGTCGTTGTGTCGCTTGAGACTCATAGTGACCCGACGTACAACAGCCATAAACTCTGCTCTATCCTGTGCCAGTCTCACTGTGTCAGACACACCCATTCCCATTACGCCAGACAATGTATCAATCCACCTCATAGAGGGTCTTACCCTCCTGCACAGTCCCTCCACACACCCTTCCCAATTTTGAACCATGTATTGTTTCTTTGCTCTGTTCTGATGACTGCCTCTTGGTCCAACTATAGGTTTCACATTAACATGATCAAGTGTTCTGGGATTCCCATTCTTCTCAGATTCAGCCACAGTTTGTTATGATCCACACAGTCAAATGCCTTTGCATAGTCAATGAAACACAGATAGACATTCTTCTGGTATTCTCTGCTTTCAGCTAAGATCCATCTAACATCAGCTACAATATCCCTAGTACCATAACCCCTTCTAAACCTAGCCTGGACTTCCGGCAGTTCTCTGCTGATGTGCTGTTCCAGTCGTTTTTGGATAATCTTCAGTAGAATCTTGCTTGCATGTGAAATCAATGATATTGTTCTATAGTTTCCACATTCTGTTCGGTCACCCTTCTTTGGAACGGGAACAAATATAGATCTCTTCCAGTCAGTTGACCAAGTGGTTGTTCTCCAGATTTCTTGGCACAACTTGGTGAGCATGTCCAGGGCAGCATCTGTTAGCTGAAATATGTCAATTGTATAGTATACCATCTATTCCTGGGACTTCATTTTTTGCTATTTCCTTTGACGCAGCTTGAACTTCATCCTTCATCACCATAGGCTCTTGCTCATATGTTGTTTCATGAAATTCTTATGTGATAGGTTTGGATTTTTTAGCTTTCTAAACTTTTCAGAGTTTTCCTTGGGGCAGTATAGCACTAAAAAAGTTATACTCAGTTATAAGAAAAGACTGAACAAGACACTTTATAAACTCAATTATAGAAACAGTGTTACATATAAAAAACATGGTTTCCTTGTCTTGGTGACAATGCAACAAAGATAAGGCATGTGTTCATCCAGACATATTAGCTTTCAATAATAAAACGTTGAGACATTGCACTGACCATAGTCTGTATTTTCTGGCTCCCAGCAATTTGATGGCCAAAAATAGGGTGTCTGTGGAATTAAATGAGTGAAACATAGATTAGAAAAGTAAAGCACTAAAGATTTTCTTAACTTATTTTGTTTCCATCTTAACCAATCACCCAGCGTAACTGATTACTCGCCCACTAAATAATGTTTTAATTCAGGAAAAATTGTGTTTGTTTTTTTCTAATTTGCTTTGCCAGGAAATTGTTTAATCTCCAGGTATACGAAGAATGAACAGGTTAAAAATCTCATACTTTGCTACAATTTTACAACTGATACATAGGTAAAACGTCTTCGTTTTTCATTCAAGCAAAAATGCTGGCTCACAAATAAGAGTGAGAGTGGAGGGTTATACTCAGCATCAGGGCAAAACATATTTAAATATAACAGATTATTTGTTGTGCATCATGTATCACAATATTCCTTTCAGGATATTTGAAACTTTAGACATCAAAACCTTTCCCTAAATTTTGGAAGTCATTTGCCTAGTCCTGCTAATTATGTAAAATATTTCTCAACATTATCTAACTAAATGAAAACAACTTTTTATTTTTACTTTTAAAAACATTATTTCTCAAAAACATTTAGTACTCCAAATATTTGAACTGGACAAACTCAAGATAATTTTTAAAAACAAACAACTAATAATACCTTAGCTGAGTTTATTTCATTAATAACAGGCAAAATTCCCAAAATAGGAAATTCTACAAGTTGATCGACTATACTACAAAGAATATGTCTGACTAGGAAAAATATTATTATTAACCATCAGTAGTTCATTTTTATCCTAAACTTATTTTCCTAGCCATGCTAGCTGAACATGCTTGGCACTGGTCTACGAACCAACCATGAACACTTGTGAACTCTATCAAGTCCTAGTCCCGAGAATGATAGTGATTCAGCCAGCGAATGGGAGCGTGACTACAGACGCCAATTTGTAAAATTAATTGAACTTATTAGGCGTTTAGATTAACTATTTGCATTACTCATAGCATATAACCAGTATATGCTAATCATCAATTCTTATTTACTAAAATGTTAACCTTAGAACAACTAACACTAATTTAATAAGCTATTTCAAGCCATCATTACTTTAACTGCATGCAGAATAAAGGTGCACTATTTCAAATTATTTTAAAATTATTTTTCCGTTTTCAGAAGCAGTTTATTTTTTTAAATAATTTTAATGAACATTTACAGAGATTTTGGATTTCCATTCATTCATTGCTGCACTTCTCTCCCCCCGCAATCCTCCCCCCGCCCCAGTTCACTCCTCTCTTTCAAAAGTAAAAGAAACGCTCCCTTCCTGGTACACAATCCCCCCTGCATCCCTCCCACTGCCCCAAGTACATTCCACTATGCAACCTTAATTGTGGACTTTTGTGATAATCACAATACCCTATCATATATTGCTTTTTTTCAAATATTTAAATCAGTAACACTGCTTCAGGACATGAATTTTTTTATTTTCTATTTATTCAATGTAAAACTTTCCTATGATTTGGATATAATATAGCCTTTGGATAGAAGAGTTCTAAGACGTGGTAGAAGCATTAGTACCACAGTGGTTAAGCTAACCAAATGATCAGAGATTAGAAGATATCAACTGTTCTATGGGAGAAGGAAGAGATATCCTGCTTCTATAAAAACGTAGACTTCAAGATCATGGAGCAATTCTACTCCATCCTACACAGTGACTCTGAGTTGGAACTAAACCAAAGGTAGAAGGTTGGGTTTTTATTATTATTATTATTATTATTAAATTTTATTAGTTTTAATGAACATTTACAGGGATTTTGGGTTTTCATTCCTTCATTGCTGCACCATTCTCTCTACCCTCCTCCCCGGTTTGTTCTTCTTCCCCACCATCCGAATGTCTGTTTTAATTGTCCAATTGCCATAGTGCTTGTCAAAGTCAGTTCTGATTAATCTCCTTTGTCGGTGTGTCGAAGGTTGGGTTTTGTTTAAAAAGATGTGATTTTAAAAAAAAAAAGATGTGATTAACACACCTAACTACAAATGGTTAACACACACAGCTGCTTACTCAAAGGTTGCAAGTTCAAGTCCACACAGAGGGAAGTGGGAAGAAAGGCTAAATGACTTATTTTTTAAAAATCAGCTACTGAAGACCCTATGGAATATAGTTCCATTCTGATATACATAGGTTGCATGAATTGAAGTCTACAGTAACAGATAAGAAAATAGAAATAAAAATATCTTGGAAGAACAGTGATCTTTGAGAACGATTATTTACTTTCCCTCTTGGTTCTCAGCTTTCCTAAGAAAGTTCTTACATACTCAAATTACTATGCAGTCATACAGCATAGTACTGGTAAAAGAGCATGCCAATGTCTGAAAGACAATTCATGGGGGGAAATGCTCTGAGAACACCTGTGGACTTTGTAGATTTTACATTCTGCTAGTCCATGTACTTTAATTATATAAGCTATGATCCACAAAGCATTGTTAATGAATTATAAAGCCTAATGAAATGTACACTTCAGGTAAATAATTGTGAAGTCAAGTAACAGAAGATGCAGAATGACTGAAATGAAGAATCCCTGATGATTTACTTAAAGAATAATCATGTTTGTCTCACTTGAAAATGATCTGGAGTAGCTTAAAATCAGTTTTCAAGTTTCCTACATTGTCTTTTGTCTCAGGTAAATTTATACACACAAAGCAGTATGCATGTTAGCCTACATAAGCTAAGAGAAGGGGTTTAGACACTACTGCAGTGACTCTGTGTAATTATCCTGTTTTACCTTGGAGCTCCAATCATCCTGATGAGAGGCTGCTGGGACTGAAGTTGGCGGGGACCAGAACAGATGAAACTCAATTACATCTCTCAACCTTCTCCCTAAATGTAATTTATAGATGGAGACTCTCCAATCTCCCCCCCCCCAAACTAAGTAACTTCTTGAATTTCCTTTATGCTTTTCACTATTACATAATTTATTTGTCTTTGGATTTATCACTTTCTCTGCCTTAAACTTAACAATCATTTTCAAGTGTTCAAAAAAGAAAACTGACCAATAATCAAAATACTGGCACCTATTTTACCATTGATGAGCATTTTCATTAAACTTACTTGAAAGCGGTAAAATGTGCCATCATCCTTCAGTGTGAGGACATGGTCTGAAATTGGGAAGAAATAGCCATGGGCAGCCATTAATGTTCCTAGATGGAGCGCTTCCACTGTGAGTGAAAAGGAAAAAGAGCACAGAAAAGCTTTATTTACTCACTGAGGTTTCTATTTTTTACTTACAGCAGTGTAATTTCTTCTGTCTGGTTCTCTTTGTGCCTACTGGCATTGCAATTCCTCACATCCTGAACACTAATTGCTCCACCTTTTATTTCAGCTGTCTTACTTAAGGTGGTAAGATGCTTGTGGTTTCTGGACTGAGTGTGTAACAACCACATAGCCACTCTCACTCCATGACGACCAGTCATGAGAATTCAGAGTTATGGACACTGAAGCTGGAAGGCTGTTTGGGCAACTACTAGAATTGAAGACTGTGTTTGCTTAAGACTAGCAAGGGAGAGGGAAGCCCTTACGAAGATGAATTGTCACAATGGCCACAATGAGAACTATGAACACATGGCAATCATCAGCATACTGTCGGACAGGACAATGTACTTAGTACAGTTTGGAGTAACTCACTGACAGCTATGTATTTCTAACTGAATCTTGAAACCTTTGGTTGATAGCTGAAACAACTCTTACAATTCTTAAACTAATATTCTAGATATAACTATAAATAGATTCATCTGACATTTAAAAATTTATATTTTTCACTATGACAAGATGGTAAACGAGGTAAATAACAACTTAGTTATGTTGTTACGTGCCATAGAGTCACTTGCGACTCATAGCGACCCTACATACAACAGCCCTAAACCCTGCTCTATCCTGTGCCAATCACACTGCCTCCGACACACCCATTCCGATTATGCCAGTCACTGAATCAGTCTACCTCAAAGAGGGCCTTTCCCTCCTGCGCTGTCCCTCCACCCTCCCAAGCATGATGTCCCTCTCCAAGGACCTGTCCCTCCTTACAACATGTCCAAAGTATGTCAGACGAAGCCCCAGAATCCTTGCCTCCAAGGAGTAACCTGGTTTAACCCTCTCCAGGTTGAATCTGTTTGTTTTCCTAGCAGTCCATGGTACATTCAATACTCTTCTCCAGCACCACAGCTCAAAGGCATCAATTCTCCTTCTATCCTCCCGAGTCATTGTCCAACTCTCTGAGGCATAACAAGTGATTGAAAAGACCATGGCCTGTATCAGACACACCTTAGTCTCCAGAGAAACACCATTGCTTCTCAGTACTTTGGAGAGGTCCCTAACATCAGACTTTCCCATTGCAATACATCTTTTAATTTCCTGGCTACTGGTGCCAAGAGTGTTGACTGTGGAGCCAAGCAAACTAAAGCTGTGAACAATCGCTTCACCATCCATCCTGATGCTGCCAATTGGTCCAGTGGTGAGAATCTCTGTCTTATTGAAATTGAGCCTCAATCCATATTAAAGGCTGCAGCAAGAGCTTCAGGTCCTCCTCAGTTTCATCAAGCAGGGTTGTACCATCTGCATAACACAGACTGTTGATAGATCATCCAACAATCCTGATGCCACATTTCTCCTCATAGAGCCTAGCCTCCCGAATGATCTGTTCAGCACACAAGTTGAAAAGGTATGGAGACAGGACACATCCCTGAGGTACACCCTTCCTAATTTTGAACCATGTATTGTTTCCTTGCTCTGTTCTGATGACTGCCTCTTGGTCCAACTATAGGTTTCACATTAACATGATCAAGTGTTCTAGATTCCCATTCTTCTCAGAGTCAGCCACAGTTTGTTATGATCCACACAGTCAAACGCCTTTGCATAATCAATGAAACACAGACATTCTTCTGATGTTCCCTGCTTTCAGCTAAGATCCATCTACCATTAGCTACAATATCCCTAGTACCACGACCCCTTCTAATGTTCCCTGCTTTCAGCTAAGATCCATCTAACATTAGCTACAATATTCCTAGTACCACGACCCCTTCTAAACCCAGCCTGGACTTCAGGCAGTTCTCTTCAGTAGAATCGTGCTTGCATTTGAAATCTATGATATTGTTCTATAGTTTCCATACTCTGTTGGGTCACCCTTCTTCGGGATGGGAACAAATATAGATCTCTTCAAATTGGTCAGCCTGTCCAGGGCAGCATCTGTTAGCTGAAATATGTCAATTGTATAGTATACCATCTATTCCTGGGGCCTCATTTATTGCTCTTTCCTTCAAAGCAGCTTGAACTGCTTCCTTCATCACCATAGGCTCTTGCTCATATGTTGTTTCATGAAATTCTTCTGTGTCTGCCAATTCCTTTCGATGCAGTGACGCAGTATATGCTTTCCATCTTCTTTTAATACTTCCTGGATCATTTAATATTCTGCCTAAAACATCCTTGATTATAGCAACTCGAGGTTTGAATTTTTTTCTTCAGTTCTTTGAGCTTAAGAAATGCTGAGCGAGTTCGGCCCTTTTTATTTTCTGACTCCAACTCCTTGCACATTTCATTGTAATATTTTACTTTGTCATCTTGTGCTGCCTTTTGAAATCTTCTATTCTCTAAAATTAAGATACAGGGGGGAAAATATCCCCAACCTCAAAACAGATAGAGATGATAATTCTGGAACTTTGAGTTGGGAAAAAAAGTGATACAGAACTAGTTGAAATATCAACTTAAGAAGTCCCTGAATGAAAATTCCAAATAGAGATTTTGAGAGGTGAATTGTGAATGGATAAGGGACATTACAAGCATTCTGAAATTTTTTTCAAGCAGTTTTCTTATCACCACAGGGACATGAGACTGTGATGGTGTCCACACCAGCAGCTGGCAGACGATCTCCTCATCACAGGTTGATCTCCTCCTTATTCCTCCCATTCTCCCAGGGATAAGAACAGTGACCTTCCTTGTGTCCAATCACTAGGTGACCAGCAGTGCTAAAAATGGCTTGCCACAGTACGGTCTGAGGCCAGGCTGGCACCATTTCATGTGTGATACTGAGAACCAGGAGCCTGCAGAACTCAAAGCAGAGAAGTCTGTTGTGGCCTGGAGTCAGTGCACATTATCTTTGACTGAAATCTTGTACCCTCTTTTGGAAAAATGGCCTCTCACTGGGAAGCCATGTGGATTTGGCGCCTGGTGCCCTATATGCCTGTGTTGGGAGCTGCATCACGACCAATCTCTGTTCCCTGGCACCAGTGTGCAATCACACAATCTCTCCTCTTGGGCCCATTTTTGGCCCTCTCTGGGATGACAGAAACCATTGCTGAAAGGATGGCCCCTGAAGTGTTAGCATCAGATGCACAAGGCACCGACATGGGGAGGTACATGCATTCTTCCTACAAAGGCTGTGGTAGTACCCCTTCTGACCTGCTGTCCACCTACTTTGTGGTCTGGCAAAAGCTTTGAGCATCTAGGACCAGGTGCATGCCACCCATGAATTTGGAGACATGTGTGCTACCCATCTGGTTATGCAAAGAGATTGAGTAATCTTAGAGTGGGTGCTTACCTGCACCTATCTCTCATACTAGCAGAAGCAACATTCCAGGTTAAACAAATTACCCTGGGGACATCTGAGACCAGCAGAAACTTTATCCCAGACTGGGTGTCCTGCCCCTTAACACTTCCCAAACTAGAAGAGGTGCCATCCAAGCTTGACCAGCCAGTCTTCGGGCTTCCCAAAGGGTCAGTGAAAGCTCTGTCCTTGGCTGAGCATCTTTCCTTTAGCCACATCTCCAATGATCAGGAACTCTATCCTAACTAGCCATCTTGACCTCAGCTGCCCGCTGAACTGACAAAAACTCCACCCCACAATAGACAACTTGCCTTCATCTGCCATAGCAATGGCAAGATAATCAATTAGGTACCCTGTGAATATACTGCAAAGGTTTATCTTTTTTTTTTCTGTCTTGCTTTTTGTTATCTTTCCCCATCCATCCTTTTTTCATTTCTTCTTTCCTCTTTTGTTTTTTACATTTCTTTATATATATGCTTGTTTCCTTTTCCTTTCTATTTTTTCCTCAATTTTCTTTACTAACCTTCCTCAATTTTTTTTATACACACTTAGACTAGAATGGCATTTAGAGCTCTTGTACATAGGGTTGCTATGACTCACAAGTGACTCGATGGCACACAGCAACAAAGACAACTACTCTTGTGGGTTTTTATTTTATTTTGAGGGGGTTATTAAACATTTTTCCATCCTATCTAACTATTGCCAACACTTTTGGCTTATAGCAAAGACTGGCAATGATTGATGTATGATAGTCTGTAACCAACAAAAGCCTAGTCTGCTCTTAGCTGCTGTAAATAAACAATGAAGAGAAAACTGCACACATACTTCTATCCTCTACTGCACCCACCAAAAAATAGAAGCTCAAATATTAAGAACTGCCAAATCAGTAAGCTACATAACACACTTGCACAGATCAATCAGATATATCAAAACAAAATCCTACAGATACAACACACTCACCAGAGGCAATGGGCACCTTCGAATAACACACACATACACACAATCTTTCAGAGAAAAACAAAATGGTTGGAAATTCCTCTAAAAGAATTAAAAAATATTTTGAAAAGCTAATAAAGTGCCTTCATTAGACTGAGAAAAAGTCTGAGGAAAACACAGATATAAATTAAGGGGGGCAAAGACAAAATTCTAGAAGACTTTAAAGAAACAGTATAAGATAAAATTAATAAAATAAACAGACAATTAAAAGCCATATAAAAACAGAAACTTAAAATCCAGAATATTCATCATTTCAGAAATAAATAATGTATGTCAGAAATAATATATTTCTCAAATTTAAAGAAGAGATAACCCATTGGAAGATCAAAAGAGGCCAAGTGAACAATGGAATATACAATTAGTGAGATGGATGATAAATCCCTTGATACTACTCGTTAGAGAAACAATCTGGGACGCAGAGGGGGAGAAGTAGGAAAATAAAGAAAATATAAGAATTACATGGGATACCATCAAGAGGAATAAGTTATATGTGTGTGGAGTTACAGAACAGAAAGAGACAACAAAACACGGAGGTTTGTTTCAAGAAAGCTTCCCAAATGTTTAAAAAACAAGAAGATAAGCCTTCAGAAGCTTAATAGGCACCAACAAGAACAGACTCTTAAAGAAAAG